CTTGCAGGCGTGGCACCCCTGGCCCAGCTGGTCTAACCAAGGGGTCTCCCCTTTCTCCTTTCTCCACAGAGCACTACAAGCACCACTGGTTCCCCGAGAAGCCTTCCAAGGGCTCCGGCTACCGCTGCATCCGCATCAACCACAAGATGGACCCCATCATCAGCAAGGTGGCCAGCCAGATCGGACTCAGCCAGCCCCAGCTGCACGGGCTGCTGCCCCGAGAGCTCACCCTGTGGGTGGATCCCTACGAGGTGTCCTACCGGATAGGGGAGGATGGCTCCATCTGCGTCCTGTATGAGGAGGCCCCGCTGGTCGCCTCCTACGGGCTCCTCACCTGCAAGAACCAAATGATGCTGGGCAGGCGCAGCCCCCCCAAGAACTACGTGATGGCGGTCTCCAGTTAGCTCCCCTGCCCCCCCCACACCGGCACTCCACTGTACTCACCCTGCCTGGACAACAGGCCACAGCATACCTCAACCTGGGGAACTGTATTTTAAATGAAGAGCTATTTATATATATTATTTTTTTAAGAAAAGGGGAGAAAAAAAACCGTCAAGATTTTTTTAAAGAAAAAAATCCTAAAAGGGTGCTGCGTGGAAGCGGCCTCCCCAGGTGCCTTTGGAGAGAACTGTGGTGGCTTCAGTCTGGGGGGGCAGTGTCTGCCTATGGGAGGGGGAGCCGCTAGGGGTGGGCCTGACCAAGGGGAGGTGGGAGAAAGCTGGGCCAGCACCTCAAGATGTGAGAGGGAACAAGCGTGGTTGGCAGCTGTGAATGGGAGAGATGGGACCTCGCGCTCTCCCCCGCCCGGACACCTGCATCCCTGACCTCAGGGCCATTCAAGCCTGGACTTAACTCGTGTTGCCTAATCTTCACTTTTATTTTTCTGATGAGATCCTGGGCAGAGAGTGATTCCTTTTGTCCCAAACAGCTTTCCTTAAAATCATCACTTGTTTCTAATTCTATCCTCAGGGGCCTGTAGGTATTGCTTCCCAGCCAGGAATCTAAAGCTTTTTGTTTTGTGGGAGTCAAGGGAGTGAGGCAGGGTTGGAGGTTAGGGGGGGACTAGGATGGCAGGGTACTCTGCACAAAACCTCTGCTTGGCAATGTGCTGCTCTGTGTGTAGTGTGCTGAATAACCCGGGGGGACTTGCAATGGACTTGAAGACCCAAAGAGTGTCCTCTAGGTATTTACAAAACCCTTCTTTCTGGATCCACATGAAAGTGCTAATGCTGCTGCCATTATCCCTTTGAGAGGTGGCTCAAAAGCTACCGGGAACTCCAAGTCCTTTGTTACTGCCTTCTTTTTAAAAGCACAACACTCCTCCTCTCTCACTCTCCCCGCTCTTCTCCCCTCTGGTTGGGTCATGGAGTGATCCTATTTTCTTAGTCACTGTGCAATATGGCCTCCTAGTCCCAGGAGGATGTGGAGAACTGGCCCTCAGAACCTCCTGGCGCCCTAGGGAGCTGGGGGAGCCATCTCTCCCTCTGTCCTCGGAACTGGCTGGCTGCTCAGCCTTGCAGGTGTCCCTTGGCTGACCCTGGAAAGCCCAAGTTCTGTAGGATTCCTGGGTATTCTTGTAGGGCTGACACTAAACACCAAACATTGGGCATTGTTTTTTCTCCCTGGTGCTCAGAGCGCCTCTGGGAGAGGTTGCTGTCTCTCTCAGTGCAATCCAAATTTGTCTGTAGACTTGTGCAATATTTACTGTTTTGGGTTGGAGAAAAATGGCAAACTACCTTTGGTTTCTCAGTGACATTAGTGAGGGGTTCTCGGAAGGCCTTGAGTTTCCCAAACCTGAATCACCTTAAAAAGGACATAGCGAGGCCATCTGGTCAACCTGGCTACCCTCCTGCTATTGACCCTTAGTGAGGAACCTTCTGCCCCAACCCCCAAAGTCCCCTCCCCACTGCATTCCCCTTTCCTGGGTTTCTTAACTACGCAGTTCTGACTCAGAGGTGCTATTTACCAAACACTCTCCCAACCCATTCCTGCCTGTTCTGCCTCCTCCTTTTCAACTCTCCAGACCCTGTTTCCAATCTTAATTGCTTTAAAGGGGACTTGGGGCCCCACAGACCCAAGAGCTTCTATTCTGGCCTGTGGGTTGAAACAAAGCTGAGAATCACTGAAGTTTTCGTTGTTGCATGTTGCAAACAGGTCCTGCCTTTTCAGAAGCAGCCTCATGGTCTCATGCTTAATCTTTTCTCTCTTCTCTTCCTTTTGACGTTCACTTTAAAAAACTAAATGCCCAGAGCTGGACTGTTGAGCAGGCCTGTCTCTCCTATTAGGTAAAAATAAATAGTAGTCCATTTGTAAGCTATTCTGAAAGAAAAGACAAAGGTTACTAATTGTATAATAGTGTTTTTATATGGAAGAATGTACAGCTTTATGGACAAATGTACCCTGTTTTGTTACTTTAATAAAACTGTAGCAGATGAAGTTGTGTGGTGCAGAGAAGGTAAAATTCCCACATCGTTAATGTGGGTCTTTCAGATCCAGATCCTTTGTGACTTCAGCTGCACCCAGAAAACCTATAGCATGTGGCCAGATAAGAGATAAATCTAAGTTGTGTGGTGAGGGCATTTCCAGGCATCCCCTCTTCTCTAGGAATTAGCTCCATATTTACTCCCTCTGATGCATATTCCGTGAAAATACTAGATGTAGAGGATTCGTCTGATGTATCCTTGCTAGGCCTTAGTTGTATTCCCTCCTTCCATTCAGCAAGAATGTATTGTCAGTCAGTTCTGGGCACTGGAAACATTAAAGATGCTTAGACACAGCCTCTCTTCTCGCAGACGGGGTGGTGAGCAGGGAGCCCCTTACCCCTTCTCAGGTTGGGGCAGAATTGTTAGAAATCCCCGGTGCAGGCACTCCTGTGCTCTCTGGAACTACCCTTTGCTGCCCACCGTTCTGGTCTCATTAGAATAGTGGGGACTTCAGTTGTTGCTCTTGAAGTCGCAAGTGCATTTTTGACCTGAGCTAGTTTTTTGTTTTGTTTTTCTTGGCCATAGGTGCTGCCTTAAAATTTAAACATGTTGACTCATAAACTATGGGATCCCGCC